GGTTACACAACCATTTTGAGATGCTTGCTGGGCAACCTCATCCCATTGAGCTTAATGGGAAATATTTACTCTCTGCACCCTGAAATGAAAGAACAGAAGGCAGGTATGCGATGTATGAACTTTCCTAGCTTGTGAAACAAAATATAATTTACCAAGAGCGGGAATAAGACCAACTATTTAGTCAATCCACACAAAATTTAACCACCAGGGGCTAATTATAGATGAAAGCAGTGTTTTTCAACCTTGCCAGCTTGAAGATATGTGGATTTTAGTTCCCAGAATTCCCCAGCCAGTAGACTGGGTAATTCTGAGAATTTAAGTCCACTTGTCTTTAAGGTGTCAAGGCTGAGAAAGGCTAAGCTTGGGTGCTAGATCATCTTATACCTATCTATATCTATCTTCTCTATTTGTATCTCTCTCTCTCTCTCTCTCTCTCTCTCTCTCTCTCTCTCTCTNTTTAAACGTCCTTCATCATAAAATATACCAAGATTTAATACATAACCACATACTGGCATTTCATTTAATATTTCTAAAATCCTCCAATAACACTGAATCCTTATGTCCTATTCTAGCCAAACATCCATAATATTTAATTACAAACAGTGATCTGGAAGGAAGGATTAGAAAAGTTTGTTATTAAATATTATGGATGTTTAGCTAGAATAGGACATAAGGATTCAGTGTTATTGGAGGATTTTAGAAATATTAAATGAAATGCCAGTATGTGGTTATGTATTAAATCTTGGTATATTTTATGATGAAGGACGTTTAAATAATTATAGTCAAATAAAAATGGAGGTATAAGGGTAACATGTATAAATATTTGAGTTAAAATACTTGAGTTAATATGAATTATGCTTGATGACTGTGGAAGAGATGCACGAAAACCTTTTGTAACCAACTGATACACTTTCTACAGTATGTAAAGAAGGAAGATTTTATGTGTTGTGTTTGTTTTGAAAATAAAAATAAATTCTATTTTAAAAAAACCTGTAGTGGTTTGCTTGACAATAGTGGCTGGCAAAAAAAAAAATCATAAAATTAGGTATGATTCACTTAGCAACCATCTTGTTTAGCCACATAAATTCTGGTCCCAATTTTGTTCGTAAGTTGAGGGCTCCCTACATATGCAGAAACAGGAGAACAGCTTGTTTAGTGACCATATGAAGTTATGTCACTGAAAGAAGTGACTTATGACCTGTTTTTCACACTTGTGACCATTGCAGCATCCCCATGGTCACATGATCAAAATTCAGACGCTTGGCAACTGACTCATATTTATGACGGTTGCGGTGTCCTGGGGATCGTGTGGTCCCTTTTTGTGACTTTCTGACCAGCAAAATCACTGGGGAAGCCAGATTCACTTAATAGCTGTGTTATTAACAACTGCAGTGGTTCGCTTAACAAATGGGCCAAGAAAGGTTGTAAAAAGGGACAAAACTCACTTAACAAATGTCTTGCTTAGCAACATAAATTTTGGGCTCAATTCCAGTCGTAAGTCAAGGACTACCTGCATTGGTGTTTGGTTTTGATCCAAGTGCATGGGTTCACCTCTGTGTCCAAAATCATAGTTCTGTTTCCCAATGCTAAGCTTAGGACCAGGCTAAGGTAAAGGTTCCCCTCGCACACATCTGCTAGTCATTCCCGACTCTAGGGGGCGGTGCTCATCTCTGTTTCAAAGCAGAAGAGCCATCCCTGTTCCTATCTTTCTACTTGCATTTTTACATGCTTTCGAACTGCTAGATTAGCAAAAGCTGGGGACAAGTAATGGGAGCTCACTCCATTATGCAGTTCTAGGGATTCAAACCGCCGAACTTCTGATCGAAAAGCTCAGCGTCTTTGCCACTGCACCACCGCTAGCAGCTATCAATTAAAACTCTACCTGATCTTTTAGCCTGAATACCTGCAGGATCTTATATTCACCAGCACAAGCTATAAGGACAACTGCATTGTTTTACTTGTCTCCAAAAGAAACCCAGATGAAAAGGAGAAGACAGAGTGACAGGAGAGTCAAGTGAATCCAAAGTTTAGAATTCCAATCATGACAAAGGAGGGGGTTTTATAGAAAAAGAGGAGGTGGTGTTCTCCTGCTGTGCCCCAGCTCCTGGGGCCTCTGACTACCCTGCCAAACAACAGCCAAACTCTAAACCCATGACTGGTGCAAAGGAAGAAGCAGGAGAAAAGCTGAGTTGTTAAGGGCAGGCTTCTCGGAGGCTATTTTTAGGGCTGTCAAATCCACATGTGGTGCTATGGGAGACATAATGCATGCACCTTGTTGGCCTGTAAAACAGGCAAGGTTGAAGAATGAGGAGGGCTCAGCAGCACCAAAGGATGGAGAAGAACAGAAATTTACATCACCAAGAAAAATGGGCTTCCTCCCTCTCTCCCTTCCCTGTCTTCCTTCCTTCCCTCTCCCTCCCTCTGTTCCTTTTTTGTCTTTCCTTTCTTGTCTCCCTTCCCTCCCTCCCTCCTTCCTCCCTCCCTTTCTCCTTCCATTTTCCTTCCTTCCCTCTCCCTCCCTTCCTTCCCTCTCCCTCCCTCTGTTCATTCCTTGTCTTTCCTTTCTTGTCCCTTCCCTCCCTCCCTTTCTTCCCTCCCTTCCTCCTTCTCTCCCTCCATTTCTCCTCTCTCTCCCTCTATTCCTTCCTTCTTTCCTTTCTTCCCTCCTTTCCCTCCCTCCTTCTCTCTCCCTCCCTTTCTTCCCTCTCCCACCCTCCCTTCCTTCCCTCTCCCTCCCTCTGTTCCTTCCTTGTCTTTCCTTTCGTCTCCCTTCCCTCCCTCCCATCTGTCCCTCCCTCCCTTTCTTGTCTTCCTTTTTTGTCTTCCTTCCTTCTCTCTCCCTTCTTTCGTTGTCTTCTCTTGTCTTCCCTCCCCCCCCCTCTTTCTCTTATACTTTCTTGAAAGGAGATAACAATTGCTTCCTCTTGTGGTGTCTGATTATCGACAGGCAATTTAAGACCATAATAGATTCTTCCTAATCATGAGCTTCCCACCCTCCCCTTTCATCCACCGCTGTCCCCACTGAATCACATGAGAAATGCACTCCCATCCAAGGTCATCCAGAGGCCAGCCTGCCCCACCTTTTCTTCCTCACCCCACACTGACTGCATGCCTTCTCCAAGGATCAAAAGTGATTTACAAGCTTTAGCGAGGATGGCCCAACACACAGAGAGAAGGGGAGGCCAGGCAGAAAGAGGCAGCTTCTGCAAGGGGGGTGGGGGTTATTTAGCAATGGGCTGTTGGTTTTATTCTAAGGCTGACACTTTAAAAATAAATTAAAGGTCAGCAAAGACTTGCTTAAGCATGCATACACACAGATCGTTGTATGCGATAAATCTAATTGTGTCTCCTTTAGAAGTGGGTTGCAGGTAAAGAACAGGCCAACATTCTCACCTCCTTTGATGAAATAGAAATAAGGTTATTATGGGGATATTATATGTTGAGTACAGAGGATGAATTGGGGGGAGGGAGCTGTCTCTGAGCTTGGTTGTTTTCTTGCAGACTTTTCGTTGCTCAACTAGGTAACCTCACCAGGGAAGCACAGATGATGTTAGCTAGTAGTTGGGAAACAAAACATCTGCAAGAAAACAACCAAGATCAGTGAGCACCAAGGACCTCCCAGGTCAACTCTGAACTACACATGTTCTCCTCTGTTGGAAGGTGAATTCTACCGTGTCATGTTTGGCCCTCAGCTGAAAAACGGAAATTATGGTTTGAAATACAAATGTCCACAGAAAGACAACATCATTCTCTCCCATCCCTTTCTTCTGTTGCCCTCCATCGTTCCCAGCATGAGGCTCTTCTCCAGGGAATCCTTCCTTCTCATTAGGTGGTCAAAGTATTTGAGTTTCATCTTCAGGATCTGGCCTTCTAAAGAGCAGTCAGGGTTGATGATCTCTAGGACTTACCAGTTTGATAGCCTTGCAGTCCAAGAGACTCGCAGGAGTCTTCTCCAGCACCAGAGTTCAAAGGCCTCAATTCTTTGGCGCTCAGCCTTCCTTAGGGTCCAACTTTCACAGCCATAAATTGCAACTGGGAAAACCATGACCTTGACTATACACTATACACGCTTTTGTTAGCAAGGTGATGTCTCTGCTTTTTAGTATGCTGTCTAGATTCGCCATAGCTTCCCTCCCCAGGAGCAAGCGTCTTTGTAGAGATTAGAAACTGTTTAAACATCAATGGCCTAAGATCTCCAGTATGTGTTTATTATCGAAACATATTACAAGTCCTGTTTCCCCACAACAACCACACTGTGAAACAGACTGAAATGAGAGGAAGGGATGGTCAGCTTCTACAGCTGAAGGCAGGCATGAATCTTGAGTCTCCCCACTCATAGTCCAGCACTTCCATCACTACCTCATATGACTTAGGCTTCCCAAAAGCATGAAGCCGACTCCTCGTCCCGATAAAACCCTTTTTATTCAGTTTAAAGTGAATTGCTCTCCAGCAAAGTCCCAGTCAACAGTCTTTCAAGAGATTTCACAACTACAGATCTTTTCAGGCTTGGAGAGCTGACAGGTCGATATCTTCCAAACACCACGCTGTAGCAGCAATTACTTGGCAAGAAGTTAGGAATAGATCTTCACCCTAATGAACTGAACTNTGGCAGCTCTCCAAGCCAGAGAAGGTCTGTGACTGTAAATCCTCCCTTGAAAGACTCTGCTGGATGTGAATGAGCAGAATTCACAGTAAATTAATGAAAAGGGTTTTGTCAGGACCAGGAGTTTGCTTCATGCTCTTGCGAAGCCGAGGTCAGAACAGAGAACTCTTATTTTGATGTTTCATCCCCTAAAAATTCCGGGAGATGATCTTTTGAAGAGTCTCTGGATCTTTATTCATGGTGTGTTCCCCCCCACCCCCCAACTTAAAATACAAGAGACGGCATGTTAGGTCAACGGATTCCTGAATGGAAGTGAGTAATGGTAGCAAACACATCTCAAGCTAGTTATCATCTCCTTCTTGGTATTTGTGTTTCAAAAATAGGAAAAAACCAGATGTTACCTCATGGAAGCCAGATGCCTCATGGCGACGTCAAGGGCCTGGACGGATTCCAAAGGGACAGGGATTTGCCCGCTCACTAGAGCTTCATGAAGCATCCGCCAACTCACAATAGCCATCCATTTAATGGAGACCTTAAATATTCGGTCTTTGCCTTCCCCTGGAATTGTCACCTCAAAATCAACCTGCAAAAGGCCAAGGAAACAAGACGAACCCTTGAATTTTGCTTTCCTTCCCTAAATCCAAAAACGTCAACTTTGCTGTCACCTGCTTTGCGTATTCCTGGAACAATCCCAATTTTAAACCTAGAACTCTCTTGAAAAAAAACAAAAACCTGTGATTTGTTCTGAATCACAGTCACGTATGCAAACAAGAAACAGAAAGGATGCACCCATGCTATTTACATACGATCGTAATGGAGGCTGCCCATCATGGTCATAACTCGTAATGGTCATAAAATGCGTCAGTCATGTGGGCAACCCACTTTGACAAACTTTTTTTTGCAGTGGTTGTTAAGAGAACCATTGGAGGTTAACTGCCAGTTTTCAGCAAAATTGTCCTAAAATACTGGACACTGCAAACTGATGTAGATAAGTGCGACTAGTTGTAACCCAAGGACTATCTGGGGTTATTTGTTAGATTCCCATCTTTCCTCCTTTGATTTTTTTCCCCACATAAACTTCTGTGAGGTAAATTGGTCTGAGAGTGAGTTTCCATGGCTGGGTGGATCAATCTCTTCCTAGTTTAACATCTTAACTATGATATCATCCTGGCTGGGACTTTGCGTATGCAAATATTTCTTGCTTTCAGAAAAAGAACACTACGGTTTTTCAAAATTTTAGGGCGTGTCGAATTTTTCAATTCAATTTCCAAACATTAGGGGTGCAGAAAAGTTGTGACATGCCTTGGGGGGATTGTAAAGATATTTTTGGCTACTTTAATATAATTTAGATGTGCTGGGTAAGTAACTACATACATATCATAACTTTTTAACATTTTTTAGTTTCATTTGTCTCACCCCCCTTTTTTCCTAATGGAAAACATTTTGAATTCGTCGCTTTCTGAGTTAGAAGTTCTAGTGAAATCTAATCTCCTCCCCTCCCCGGCCACCGTTTCTGTAGGCGTGGCTTGGTGGTGGTGGTAATAGTCATGTGACTGGGTGGGCATGGCCAACTCCCTCCCCCCCCCCTTTAAAGCACTTTTTCCCTTTAAAAATCTTCTAAAAATAGCTTCTAACAATGCCCGGCTCACAGCTGAGCCGCACGATCGTCAGAAACTATTTTTTTAGATTTTAAAAGTATTTTTCAGGTGAACCGGCAGAGAAAAAATCCTTTAAAAATCTAAAAAATCAAATCTAAAAAAATAGCTGTGAGCTGCACGATCCTTGGAAGCTCATTTTAACTACCGGTTCGCAAAACAAGGGGCAGTTGTCCTTACCGGTTTGGCCAAACTGGGTTGAACCGGGAGGATTTCACTCCTGGATAGAAGCAGGCCGTTCCACACTTACAGAAGTGTTCCAACCACATCAGAAGAACATTGAGCTCAGAGTAGCTCCAGTTATGTTCAGAATCTCTCGTACTGTTTAGACAACCTGGTCTGAATCTAAAAGGTTTTGCATTTGTCGTTGAACTTCTTACCCTTTCATTTCCAATAGGCAGAGCTGTGACGGTGTAGATGTTCTTCTTTCCATCGTACACCGGTTTCCGGTCTCCGAAGATCTGAGGTTTGAAGTGTTGTACCATATATTCCACAACCTCCCTGCAAAAATAAAAAAAAAGCAACAGACAGACATCGGACGGGGAGAGGAGGAAAGAAAAAGGAGAAGCTAGAAAGACAGGCTTAAAATATAATTCCGCTAGGAAGCGAAAATGATTACAACTGAAAGTCAGAGGGGAAAAAAAACCCCACTATTTCTCAAGTCACTGGTTAAAGGTAAAGGTTCCCCTCACACATATGTGCTAGTCATGCACTACTCTAGGGGGCGGTGCTCATCCCCATTTCAAAGCCGAAGAGCCAGTGCTGTCTGAAGACGTCTCCATGGTCATGTGGCCAGCATGACTAAATGCCAAAGGTGCATGGAATGCTTTTACCTTCCCACCAAAGGTGGTTCCTATTTTTCTACTAGCATTTTTACATGCTTTCGAACTGCTAGGTTGGCAGAAGCTGGGACAAGTAATNTTTATTCCCTATGGGAGGGGCCATTCACCATCCACCTGTGCCTCTACTCCTGAGTCGGCCCTTGTTCCTTCTCCTAGTAGCTCTGTGCATGCACATACCGGGAACAGGCTCCTTGTTCCTTAGCTGTTCCCTTCTCCTGGCAGCTCTGCGCATGCACACACTGGGAACAGGCTCCAGCTGATCTCTGCCCAACTGATCTCCGACTCCGAATGCAGCAGATAACTGTCGGCCCCTTCTCTGCCTCCGACACACAGCCCTCATCAGAGCCTTCCCCAGATGCCAGGACTGGCCCATGTTCCTCCCCAACCTCCTCACTGTCCGAATCTGCTGCCAGATCCACTGGTGGGCCACAACACAAACAAGGTTTCTTTTGATCTCTTGCCAAAGACAAACGTGACCAGGCCTGCTATTCCCACTCAACCTCCGATCGTGGGCACAGCTTCTGGAGATGACCTGCTTCTGTGTAGACATGGGCTGACTTCCAGCGGTGTGTCATTTGAGCAAGATAAGGTGTGATCTTCCTTCTGCCTCTTACTGCAGAAAAAAGGTAAGCTCCTTTAACCCGCTTTTGAACAGCGATCAAATGAAAGCAGAACCTTCCGACGGCCAATTTCCACCCAAGGCAAGCTTTCCTGGTTCATGCTACTCATTTACATCTCTTCTGGGATTTTGCAGCTGTAGACGTTCAGCAGGAACCAAGAGCCATGACGAATCGAGCAGCAATGCCAGCACACTAACCTAGTGCACAGCTGGCAAATGTAGGCAAGGCCACGTCACCTGAAATGCTCTCTGACCTCCTTTTCCAGGGAGTGATGCTTGGGAAAAAAAGTCAGACTCTTCTACTCTCCAGCTGCACAGCACAGGGAATACTGGATAGCGACAACATTGTGTGGTGACACTGTGGGGTAAAATTTCCCTTCCACACAATGCAATCCCATATGGGGAAGGGAGGGAGAGGGACAAAAGGGCATATTTGGGGGAAAACATCCAGCCACCCCAGCAGTGTTGGTGTTCATGAAAGCTTTTGAGGGTCATGCCAGGAGACTCTTCTCCACCAAGTCCATGGGACTCAGTCCCACAAGCAAGAGGGACCAGGGAAAACAGAAGATGTCCTATGGGATCTGACCAGCTTCCAAAATTGCCATTTTAGGGGAGGTTCCCAGCAATAACTTTTAGGAACTGTCAAAGCTTGCGGACCACACAGATTGTCATGCATGGCAAAACCAAATATCTTTTTGCAAAAATCTGAATTTTGGGAACTTTGAAAAGCACACAGATGTCTAGTATTCTGCTCTAGAAACATGCAGCAAAGGAAAATAAATCATACACTGAGATTAATAAGCAAAACCAGATCTGGTACACAAACACTCCTCTCTCTTTATTGTTGGAAGTCCATTGGAAAAACAAGCCATTTCCAAAATCTGAATACTTGCTAGAAGCTATTTTTAATAAACGTGTTTCAATTTCTGAAGGTCGTTTTGTGTATATTTCGGGTCAGTTGTGTCTTTAACTTATCAAAATGAAATCATTTATTTGAAAGCCAGTTAAACTGCAGATCCCATGCTTGGCTTCGATTATTTCTATTCCATATGAAATGACAATGCAGCATGAATTTGGGGGGGTTAGGACCCTGCAGACCCCAAAGGCTTTGAGAAACTTTTGTGCCCCTGGAGCTGCAATTTTCCAGTCCTTGCGCTAAAATAATTGCAATAGAAGAGAATGTTTCTAGCACAATTGCTGAATTGTGGTATTTCTGGCGCTCTTTGAGCTGGATTGTTTTCTTGCAGACATTACCCAACTAGGTAACAACATCAGCACAGCACCGATGAAGTTTCCTAGTTTGGTAATGAAATGTCTGCAAGAAAACAATCCAGCTCAGAGAGCACCAGACACCAAAATATGACTGCAACACCGTCATTTACTAGGAGATGTGATGCTGCCTACTGGTTTCACCAGCTTCAAAAAGTTTGGACTGGTTCATGAAAGTCATGGAGATCGATTTTGTTGTTGTTCAGTCATTAAGTTGGTCCGGCTAGGCCATAGCATATCTCCCAGAGCAGGGGTCCACAAACTTGGCAATTTTAGGACTCGTATAGCTGGCTGGAGAATTCTGGGAGTTGAAGTTCACATGTCCTAAAGTTACCAAGTTTAAAGATCTCTGTCCCAGAGTTTGCCCAAATTCATGTTGATATGGGAGTCAATAGCTACCCTGTTAATCATGATGTCGGTGGGACTGCCTCTGAAGGCCATCTCCTGGTAGGCTAGTGGACTTCCTTGTATGATTGGTTGGCCACTATGAGAACAGACTGCTGAACTAGATGGAGTAGATAAGATTAAATTCTTATATTCCGATCAGAAGCTGGTAGGATGAAATATCTTCAAAGTTATCTTCCTCTAGGAATAGGATACTTTATTTGGCCAAGTATAATTAGTCACAGAAGGAATTTGTCTCTGGTGCATGCAAATCAACAGAGTAATAAGAATCATAATGATAGTAGTGAGAGTGTGTAGTAGAAAAGATGAGGATAGTAGCAATACAGCCATACTACACAAATATATGTAAGACAGTACTGTGGTAATTGGCACGAGGGGGGAAAAGCTGTCTCTGTGTCTAGTTTTGACATGCAATGCCCCATAGCAGTGTCCCAAGGGGAGGAGTTGAAACCGTTTATGTCCAGGATGTGAGGGATTTGTAGATATTTTCTCAGCCCTCTTTCTGACCCATGAAGTATATGGGTCCTCAATGGAAGGCAGGCTGTTTGCAATTATTATTTCTACAGTCCTAACTATTCAGAGCCAAGGTGGCGCAGTGGTTAAATGCAGCACTGCAGGCTACTGCTAGATCAGCAGGTCAGCGGTTCAAATCTCACCGGCTCAGGGTNCATTATAAAGTGGTATTAACACTTCATGTGATCTTGATTAAAGGACCTCTGTGATCCTTCCAAATCTAGGACTTCAGAAAGCTGTGAGAAGCTTCCTATTTTCACATAAGCTCTCTCAGAACTCTGACCCTCCCAAGTTGAAGACTACAGGAAGAAGAATATTTAAATGCCAGCCCAGCTGTCTATGAGCAGCTATTTTAAAAGCCTGGGACCACAGCCAGATCCACCCAGCTGCTGTAAACTGAACGGAGATGGAAGATCAAGGCGCTGTTTTCTTCTGAGCTACCAAGGCATGACCGGAGATGATGAGGGAGGAGAAGGGACATAAAACACCCTGCTTCACAGGAGAGGGGGCATCAAAAAAATGTCATCTTACTCCCAGCCAACCTAAGCAAGAACAGCCGTTCCAGTCATAGCAAAGTTGAACAGGGCCAAGCAAGCAGGTAAACTGAAAACAGCTCAGCCAAGAAGTGGGGGCCATCAAAACTCAGCAACAGGCAGGAAGAGGTGCCTCGGCATGCCCTTTTCTCTTCCTGCCCCCTCCCAGCCCATAGGTAATTCCTCTAGAGCAGGGGTCTCCAACCTTGGCAACTTTAAGACTTGTGGACTTCAACTCCCAGAATTCCTCAGCCAGCAAAGCAATTCCTCTAGAGCAGGGGTCTCCAACCTTGGCAACTTTTAAGACTTGTGGACTTGAAGTCCTCAAGGCTTAAAGTTGTCAAGGTTGGAGACCCCTGGACTAGAGCAGGAAGGAGTGTCCAAGCTTGGCAACCTTAAAATCTGTGTCCCAAAGATGGTTTTGTTTTGTTTTTTCAAAAGACAACTGGACTTTCTTAGTTGGGGTTTTTTTTTTGGGGGGGGGGGGGGGGGGGGGGCTGAAGAAATTTTGCTTCTCATCCAAGAAGCTTCTTCAGTTCTTCATGCAAAACAAGCAAGTCCAGTTGCCTTTTGAAAAAAGCAGCTTCGGAACAACCGTGACCTGGATGACCGAGAATCTCCATAGACATTTAAGACCTGTGGACTTCAACTCTTGGAATTCCCCTAGCCAGAATTTTTGGAATTGAACTTCACAAGTCTTAAAGTTGCCTAGGTTGGACAACCCTACTCTTAGGACATGGGAACATGTTCACCTGAGAGGGTTTTTTTTTGGGGTGGGTGGGTGTTGTGAAGGCTAGAGGGGAGAAATGGCTAAATGCTAAATACTTGCCTTACCTGTTGACTCTGCGTGGACACTTGTCCGGCTTGATGTCAACTTCATAGTGATAGACATCGATTTTGGGAATGTCCACCTCAAAGTAATTGGCCAAGAGCTTGATGGGCTTCCCAACAGTTCCTATCCCAGGCCGACGAGGAGCTTGAAATACCTGCTGGAGGGGTGGCAGGTAAGTGCCTGCAGCAACTGCTAAAAAAAACAAAAATTGGAAGTGGAGGGGAGAGAGAGAGAGAGAGAGAGAGAGAGAGAGAGAGAGAGAGAGGGAGAGGGAGAGGGAGAGGGAGGGAGAGAGAGAGAGAGAGAGAGATGAATGTGCGAACCCAACAGCTGAAAAACATTTAGAGCATCTAGACCACAAGTGTCCAGCAATGGCAACTTTAAGACTTGTGGATTTCAATTCCCAGAATTCTCCAGCCAAGGCCTGGAGAATGTGTTCCATGGGGTCACGATGGGTTGGACACGACTTTGCAACTAACAACAGCAACAATAATCACTTTCTATGGAGCCATGGTAGCACAGTGGTTACAATGCAGTATTGCAGACTAACTTTGCCCACAGCCAGGAATTCGACCCCAACCAACTCAAGGTTGACTCAGCCTTCTATCCTTCCCATGGTTGATAAAATGAGGACCCAGGTGGTTGGGGGGCACCATCCCGATATTTGTCAACTGTTCAGAGAATGCTGCAAAGCATGGCCAATAAATCATTCTATCCTATTCTATTCTATATAAGTCTAAGTGCTATTGCTATATGTACATCAGATCTTCTGCTTACCCCTATAGGTATATATTACCTATAGAAAATAGAATAACAGGTGGAAAATAAAATGATAAATTTGGTTTATTTCTGAAGGGGCAAATAATGATATTGTTTATGTGGTAAGAAAAAATAAGTTTAAGATGGGAAATATGGGAAGAAAATAATATGGCTAAAATTGGAAATGGAAATATGATGTAAAATGAATTATGTACAGGAGAGAATGTTAAAGGGGAAAACCCGGGCAACACTTTGTTTACAAAAGAATCTAAAATTTGTAACAAAAAATAAAGCAAAAACTTTGTTTGGAAAAAAAAGAAACGTCATCCCATGTTGATTCTCCCTACAAAGCATTTCTGGAGAAAACTACGGTACATGGCCCCCTTTTTCTTCCTGATCCATGTCTTTTCTTTGTCACGACTTTGCCATGGCAAGCTTGTAAGACAAGCAGCATTCAAAACACATTTTAGATTTTTTTTTTTAAAAAAAAACTGGGCTGATGTAATTAGTTCATAATTGAGTGTATTGCATGACTCTGAAAATTGGATTAGTTGTAAGTTACCCGTGGATAAGACAGAAGTGAAAAGAAACTCCACCTGCACTGCAAACGTTGTTTTGCATACAAAAGGTTTAGCTTCAACCCTTGTTAGCAATGGGGAAGAAGACTCTACAGATAGTCCTTTAATTAAAACCATTCATTTAGTTCAAAATTACAACAGCACTGAATACAGTGACTTACAACCAGTTAACCTGCTTACAAGCAACACAGCAAATCACACGCTCAAAATTTGTGTGTTATGGATGTTTAGCTAGAATAGGACATAAGGATTCAGTGTTATTGGAGAATTTTAGAAATATTAAATGAAATGCCAGT